CAGACTTAGTCCAATAATTAATTGCATCCAAGAATTTAGCCAAATGAGAGCTCCATCCCTTAATAATATCTCTCAAATCAGACAATGATATGTAATTTATCATGCTGTCATATACTATTATCTTTAGGGATGAGAGCTGAAGCTCGACGAGAAGCCAATGAGTACGGTCCAAAACAGGGAAAAACACCTACATCGAAATGTAATAATTCAAATTGCGCACTTATTTATGAACACCTTTAAAATATTTAAACAAATATACTAACCTTATCGACCTCCCACCATGCAGGATAAAGTTTAGCTTGTCTATTAGCCAACACATATGATTCCTGTCGTTGATTCTTCAAGTGAACTACATGAAAAGACGTCGGTATAATTGTATATCGTGTTTTTTTTATATTTTTCTTCAATTTCCTTACAATTAAAAGACGTTTCACCCATGCATCAATATGCTGTTTTACAAAAAAAGACATATATTAGTGAATTTCATAAATTTTAAAAAAAATTAATCAAACTGAAATATAAGAAGAAATATAAGACTTACTCCCCATCGAAATAGCCGTTGTCTTCAACCCCTAATAATACACCCCACAAAGACTGTTCAATCAACAAATGCATATCATCGTTGAGTTTGTATATGTCAGCGTAACACCCTTGGCTCCGCTCATGTAGATAAAAATCAACTGCGGTCTTAGCCCAAAGGGTATTATCCAGAATTGTTTCCGTAGTTGTTCCTCTCCACTTCATCTGCCGGAATGGTACTGGCCGGTAACTTATACGAAAGCCAACAGTCATCCATCATGTCCGGCACGTGAGGGGGCTTCTCAATAATTCGATATATTACGCTGTGTGAATCGGGATCTAGAATGTTGGGAGGGACCTCTTCAACGATGACAGTGGCCTCTTAAACGGTGGGAAGGGACTCTTGAGGGATGATAGGGGCCTCTTGAACGATAGGGGAGGCCTCTTGAACGATGACAGGTGAGTCGGGCTTTTTCTTACGGATTCTTCGTACTATTGGGGTGAACGGAGACGTAATGGCACATGCACGCCGTCTGATGCGTGAACTCCGTCTTGCAAGAAAAACCCGACGTAGAGCATCCACCTTACCGGGCCGCTAAAAATAAATTAATACATAAATCAGTAAATAAACAGACATGATATTAAACAGTGAAAACAAGACAATGTATTTCAAACTTGCACGGTATTCACCCAAGTCATTATTATATCATTGTTCACAAATGCATCAGATAACATTCCAGAAGTAAGCACTTATATAAACATTTAAAAAGACAACATATAGGTTTAGTGCAGGTTCAATGACAACATAAAGAGTAGTAGTTTATTCTTGAAACTTAAATTTTCAACACTATGAAGTTAGTATTTGTCTTTTGGTTGAAGTAATGCAATTCATTCAAGTTTCAATTTGCAGAAGAAGAATAGAATCTGAAACTTAAAATCGCAACACGAAAATGACTATCGCAACGCAAAAATAACTATCGCAACGAGAGAATCGCAATGCGAAATGAAAATCGCAACGCGAAAATGATTATCGCAATGCAAAAATGACTATCGCAATGCGAATTTGACTATCGCAACGAGAGAATCGCAATGTGATTTTCATTTCGCATTGCGATTCTTTCGTTGCGATAGTCAAATTCGCATTGCGATAGTCATTTTCGCGTTGCGATAGTCATTTTCGCATTGCGATAGTCATTTTCGCATTGCGATAGTCATTTTCGCATTGCGATTTTGTTGTTGCGATTTTCATTTCGCATTGCGATTCTCTCGTTGCGATAGTCATTTTCGCGTTGCGATAGTTATTTTCGCATTGCGATAGTAAACTATTCTTATTCTGCAAATTGAAACTTGAATTGATTGCATTACTTCAACCAAAAGACAACCAAAAATAAATAATAACTTCACAGGGTTAAAGAATAAACAGTTAAACAGTATTGGCAGCAACCGAATGAATTTACTAAGCAATCTAAGTGAAATTACGAGTAAATTTATCATCAAGTTAAATATGAAAAATATTAAACTTACCTCGTTGCGTAGAGTATGAACCTCGTTATGCAACGATGCTACAATCTCACGTAGAGTTGCTACCTCACCACGTAAAGTAGGACACCTCAACACGCCATGCACCATTATCATCGCGTAAAGTACCGACCTCCTCACGCAAGACATTGACCTCATTACGTAACTCCCCTAACTCATCCCGTGGAGGTGGAGGTGGAGAACAAGGAGATAAACGTCATGGCATCTTTGCCGGTCGCCTATCATGAGGTGATGGTAGAGAAGAGGCTCGATGATGTGACAGAATAGGTGATGACTCTCGTTGTGGAGGTGTATATTCGGGTCGATCAGGTGATGGCTCTGGGTGAGGTGATGGCTCTCGAAGTGGTGGCTGCTCATCATCCGTGACATCAAAAAAAGCTTACTAGCTTGCCACCAATCAGTGGCAAGCTCAGCTTCCGTGGGTGTCAGCCTCTGTAATGGAGTGTTGGCCTCCTAACAATATAAAAGCTCAAACAAAGTTAAACGTGTACTAGTAATAACTTGTTTATAAACATATGGTAGTATTTGTGTTAACTTACATTATTTATTGTAGTATACGGTAGTAAATCTTCCCATTGCTGCAAGGACCGTTTCATCTTCCAGGAAATAGCCCTAGGAATATCATTAGAAGTTTTAATGCATATGTCTGCATGGCGGGAAATGCCTCAAATATCCAATCTACAAACAATATAAAACAAACATTAGTAATTGTTAATGAATTAATTATAATTTTGGAAACATTATATAAAAATTATTACCTTAAAGGCCCAAATAAAGCCTGACAAAGTGTATTTGGAACCATCGCCACGCAAACTTTTCCGATCATTAAAGGCAGACGACAACTTATTCCATTTAGCTCTCCATAGATACGAACCCCACGGAAACAGGTTCCATGCATTTAGGTCCTACCAATTTAATTAGATCATTAGGAATAGGTTGTCGGGCCTCTCTGCCTAAAAAGCCGGCTTGCAAAAGTATTAGAAGGCATACTTGGACAACATCGACGTCATCCATCTGAGTAAAACCATCTTTCTTATTCAATAATCTCGTCAAGTCTTCCACGTGTAAATTCGAATTCTCCGTTGACAGCTCAGGAAAAACCCGGGAAAACCATGATAGGCGGGTAATATGTCTAGTGTACCGATCTACATCATCGTGCTCGAAGCGTAGACCGGTGATTAAGCAAAACTCCTCCCGCCTAAAACACGTATACGCCGGTGGAAAATCAAACCATATCTCTTCATCACGACGTTGTATAGTCTCTGGTAGATCGCTAGTCATGGTTTGAAGAAACAGATAGGTCAGCATAGCATCTCCACCCGGATGTTGTACTTTTAGCTATGGCCCGAAGCAAGTATCCTCAAAATATTTTTCTTTGTGCATGTGAAAGCTTCGACGCAATTGTTTTGGCCAGGCTTACTTTATTTCTTAAGGTCAATTGAGCCGAATAAAAGTTCTGCAAAAACAATAAACATACCAATTTAGATATACAAAAAACTACACTATGAAGATATGAACAATAAACATAAAGAGTAGTAGTTTATTCTTCAAACTTAAATTTGCAACACTGTGAATTTAGTATTTGTTTTTTGGTTGAAGTAATGCAATTCATTCAAGTTTCAATTTGCAGAAGAATAATAGTTTCTGAAACTTTAAATCGCAACACGAAAATGAAAACCGCAACACGAAAATGACTATCGAAACGCGAATTTGACTATCGCAACGCGAAATGAAAATCGCAACGATAGAATTGCATTGCGATAGTCATTCTCGATTTCAAATACTAAAATTGAAAGAAACTTGAATGGATTGCATTACTTCAACCAAAAGACAAAACAAAGACAAATACTAACTTCACAGGGTTAAAGACTAAACAATTTAGTAGTATTGGCAGCAATCGAATGAATATAATAAGCAATTTAAGTGAAATGATTAATCTATTATTGAAAACACCACTAAACTTATCGTCAATTTCAATGAAAAACCTAATAATAATACAAAAATTTTAAAATAAAAATAATTAAAAAAAACTAACCATCGGTGGTTGATTTGGTTGATTTTCCATTTCTTACCGTGAATGATTTCGTCGGAGATGGAGACTGATATCGTCGGCGATGGGGATTGATTTCGTCGGAGATGGGGACGGATGTCGCCTTAGAGACTGAGAGATGGAGATGAGACTGAGTTGTGATTTTGGGTTTTAGGTTATGAGTTGCGATTACGGGATATACTGTGGACGGTTCAGTGTTCCGATATATTAATATAATATATTCGTGTTTGGAATTTGAAAAAAAAATATGCGTTGGATACGAATGGCGCTATGTAAATCACATTGCGATAGTCAGATTCGCATTGCGATTTACGTATTCGCATTGCGAATTAGGAAAATCGCAACGCGAATTTGGGAAATCACAATGCGATAGTCAGAATCGCGTTGCGAATCTGAAAACTGATTTGCGATATCAGAGATCACGTTGCGAATTATCGATCGCATTGCGATTTAGTTGGTCATTTTGACAAATCCAAAAAAAATTAGTTAAAATCGTATATTATAAGACATTTTTGATCACTGAAGTTATTTTCTCTTCTTAAATTCACATATAAAAAATTAAATAAAGAAATTGAGACACGTGATAATATTTTAATTTATTTATAAAATAAAGAAAATGTTCACGTTAGTGTAAAATAATTATCTGCAATCGTTTGGTCGTGTTCCTGGGAATCGGTTTGGTCAGTGGTTCATCTAGGTTGGTTCTGGAAGATCTGATCCCTTCCTCAACTCCCCTTGCCACCCAATAGCTAGTTTTCAAAGAGAAATCAAAAGAGAATTTTCAAAGAAATCAATAAAATAACAAGAATTTTCAGAGAAACCAAAAGAGAGGGATTGAAAGAGAAACAAGAACATTTCAATGGAAAAATCATTTTCATATCTTATCTTTGACTTTTACATGATGGGTACTTCCAATTCCAAGAACGAGAAGATCAAAACTGAGTTCTCAATAACTACAAAGCCCACTCATTTCATTTCTACTTAACACAAACCAAATAAAAGGTAATATTAACAATAGTCAGAAAGAAAAAAAACCATGTCAGAAGAGTCTTAAGAAGCAGCAGTCAAAGGAGGATGCATTGAAGGAACTACATGGATAAAGCTTTGCTCTGATTCTTTACTCAAAATTTCCCCAACTTCTTCTTCTTCATCTTCTTCCTCAGCATCCCAAAGAAACCGAGCATACGACGCTAACACATAACTGCAAATTTCATTAAAAAGATTAAAAAATTCATCAATCATTGTGAAATTGAACATAAAAGATGAAACCCAATTTTTAGAATTTAGTTTTTTTGGGGGGTTTTACCAGTCATCAGGGGCAGCTTTAACAGCTTGATCGAAGTAAGTTTCAGCTCTGGAACTATCTTTGCGAGTCTCCCAGATTAAATCAGCATACATAGATAGAACATTCCCGTCATTTGGATTTGCCAATATCGCCCTCCCACAGTATTCTTCGGCTTTCACGTAATCCCGACGGACCTGGCCGGTTTTCCGACATTAGATTAAGCTCAAAAGATCGGTTTACCTTTCATTTATTTAAAAGAAAATGAATAAAAAAGATGATCTAAAGTTACCTCTTTTAAGAATTTAGCGTAATTGCTTAGGAGAAGTGAATTTCCAGGATTAGCCTCGATCATTTTCTGATAATACAACTCGGTACCATCGTTTCTGTTGTTCGAATCCCACGAGCTCCATTCGTTATCATCAGTATCGGATCCACCACCATCGCCACCGCTGCCTATTCCACACTCTTCCTCCACCACGAGCGACGCTGTTCTCCGCCACTGAAATCCAGCTTCTTCTTTCTCCACCTCCTCTTCTTCCTCAACAAAGATCCCATTCAAGATCCCGCTATTGTGCTTAACTTTGCCCATCTTAGGGACCACCGGAGAGCTGATCATCCTCAGATCCGTCTCCGAAACCGCCCTCGTCATACTCCGCCTCGATTCGTCGTTCAACCCGACAGAAACCGAACACAAAACTCTGAAGGAAACGGATCGGGTTCGGGAAATCAGGGGCGACGACTCGGGTTCCGGCAACGGCTCCTTCGAGTGTGGGATCCATGAATTAAGTAACGGCGTGGATGTGCTCCTTAAAAGCATTTTGTACTAAATTGAAATGTTAAAGTAAATTAAAGGGTGAATTTCATAAATGAGCCAAAGATCTTAGCTCCAAAACTTCCCAGCTGCAGTTTGCAGCGTTTGAAAGAGAAACTGAGCAAGAAGAGAACAGGCGGTGCTGGTTTTTATCGGGAGAATCAGTGGGGGGACGGAAAACATCTAGGCCGTTGATTTCAATGATTGAATATCACATGCATGGATGATGAATACGTGGGATTTTGCTGAGCTGAAGTATTAAAGATCTGTTTGGTTTGAGGGGAATTGAAAAAAAAAATTCCAAATTCCATTTATTTTTGGATAAAGTACGATTTCTCGCTAGCTTTGGATTATTAAGTTATGAAATAGTTATTCGATAATAAGATATTATTTTATCAAATTTTTAACTATTAAGATTTATAAAATAGTTATCTAGTTATTTATATGTTATAAATTCTTTTTTTTCATTAAAATTTGATAATTTTTTGAGCTAAACGTTAATATATTAACTGAGATATGATAAATGTCATCTCATAATCATTTGAATTGTATTTTGTAGATAGATTATCTATTTATCTCAATTAATAAGTTAATGTCTAACTCAAATAACTATCAAATTTTTAATAAAAAATGACGAATTGAGTGATCATATTATAATTTTTAATAATTAAAAGACTTAATAAAATAACATCTTATAATTAAAAAATTATTTTATAAATTTTAATAATTAAAAAAATAACAAAATAATATCTTATAATCTAAGATTATTCGTATAATTTACTCTTATTTTTGTATAGGAGATCCGACCCCAGATGTTGGTGGGACCGTGGTGGAGCCCCGGTTGGTGGGGATTTCTGGCCTGATAGAGGTGCGCTGTCGTTCATTGGTTAGAAGTGGGATCGCCCTTCTATCCTCTCAGATTCTTATGGGTCTTCATTCTTGATTGGATCCCATCAGAGGCTAATGGTGTCTTTTCACTATTCAATCATTGACTTATATCTTAAGAGATTTTTTCTATTTTTCCTCACATGACACAATATTTTTAGTGAGAAAAATAAAAATTATACGTGAATGTGTCGAGTTAACAATAAATATTAATCGTTTTAATTTTAAAAAAAATAATAGTTTTAATAAAAAAATAAAATATTTCAGAAAAATAATAAGGATAAAAATATTTTTAATTTTTAAGGTGTTTTGGGGGTTAATATTCTGCAAACATATTAATATTGGTTTTCTTAACTTTAACTGAAAAAATCAAATATGAATATTTTAAAGGAAAAAAAATTAAAAACGGACCACCATACAAAGAGAGATGAAATTCCAGTTTGTGTGTGAATGATGTATTTTCAGAGCTGGAAAAACCCAGAGCATCTTGAGTGCGTGTACCAGAATTTATTACACAAAATTTCAGCCAAACCCTTTCGTTTTCGGAAATGGAAAAAATCAACTTGATTTTTGTTTAGTTCATAATCCACCTGTTTGAACCCTACAATCAAACTCTCATCCTTGGTAGGTCACGTTCCTCCTCCTCATACCCTGTTTTATTTCCAATGAAATAATCACCTGGTAAAAATAGTGATGTTTTTGTCCATAATCTCCACTGATCCATGATATTTCATGATTCATTGTCTTGTTCCGAAACGACGACCTCGAAACTCCCTAGGAAAACACCAAGCCATGGAGAACCAGCATGACTACTTTGTCGGAAGAAATATCTGAGAACACATGTTTTGAATGATGAAAACATTAATAGCTTCTAATATGTTCTGAAAAGCACATTTCTTAACAAAGAAGCATCAACTCAGGACCTACATTCATTTCTGGTAATTCAGAGGTGGACGAGAGATGAGAAGAAGCATTGCTTGGAAGAAACCGACAAGTCATAAATATATGTTTTAAAAAAAAAACAGATTAGAATGAAAAAACACAGAAATTGTCTGAAAAGAATCACTTGTTGTGGAATGTGTTCGCACGAGAACGAGCTAGATAACGATGATAAAATGGTGTATAAATTATATCTTCAATCACTTAATAAATTATATTAAACATTTTGAAAAGATCAATATCAAAACAATATAAAAAATTGTTTCTTTGCATTTTCGTATCTTATATTATTTAGATATTATTTTTTTCTTCAAATATTTAAATATAATCTTTTAAATATGTATTCAGTGAATGATTGAAGATAAAATATATATTAATTATCGTTGGCTTATACTCATGCTAATACAAGTCACATGTCTTTCTTCTTTTCAGATAATTTATTTTGTAAACTTTTATTTTAATATTATTTTTTCTCAGTTTGATCGAATTATTTTTATTTTCCTTTCAATTTCCATCTGTTGATGACTCCAATAAAATCACTAGTTACTATGATCTATTTTACGGAAAATGTTATAATAGAATGACTTGATGTAGTCATATAGAAATCAATCAAATTTTCTGCTAATTCTGCTTCTCTACCTTTTTAAAAATCACCTAAAAAATTGTTTCTAATATACTAATAATAATGATATAGGAAAGTTAACAAGGTTGCGCCTGTAGCTCAGTGGATAGAGCGTCTGTTTCCTAAGCAGAAGGTCATAGGTTCGACCCCTATCTGGCGCGGTATTCTTTTGCGAAGGTAGATTTTATCCAAGAAACGAAACAACAATTTTCTTTTTTTGCATGTGTACTCGATGTTTTAACACAAAAATGCTTATTGCTAACAGTTGCTCAGAAATCCACTGCAGTTCTAACTTCTGCCCTCGTGAAGAGATCTCATGTTTACTCCTAAAAACACTGATCTCTTCACGTTCAGCTGCTCAGAAATCCACTACAGTTCCCCTGCAACCAATAACACTCAATTCATAGTATCAAAATGCTTAACGCTTACAGTTTTGCATGTTTTAATCGAAGAAACTGTGGAGTGAAAATGCTATTGGAATGGTGACGGGTAAAAGGTAAGGAGGAGGAGATGCTGCGCCTGCAAAGCCAACATGGTCCACCGGCTTTAAATCGTCTGTTGAAGTGATCAACTGAATTAATTCCAGTCCCTTCAAATTGAGGACACTGCTTAGAAAACGATGAAGGTGTCAGACTGGAGACAAGGCAAGAGTTGGTAAATGAAATTGTAAGTTATTACACAAAGGTGCCCCACAGTGGATGTGCTGCAGGAGTTGCTGTTTGCAAAATTTGATTAAACCTGTTGAGAACAGTGAGATAAAAGGATGCTATATTTGCACAAAATGGTGACAAAGCACCTGGAACCCATGGATACACTGCACACTTCTTCAAAGCAGCTTGGAAGATTGTGGAAATGGATTTTTATTGCTGCTGGCCGGTATTATTTTGACACGGGTTATGATTCCAGGGTTCAACTCAACAGCTGTGACTTTATTTAGTGCCCGAAAAAGTTAATCCAGAGTACATTAAAGACTACCGACCAATCTCTTGTTCTGTAGTTGTTGATAGGAAAAAGTTGGATTTATGTTTGATGGTAAAATGTAGGTTATGACGTTTGTAGGTAGTTTACTGCTGTCAGTAGTTCTATAAAGGAGATAGAGAAAGCGGATAAAGACGATGAATATGAATAGTTAAAATTTCAAAGGGAGAAAGATTCAAAGAGACCTCGGGTGTCCTTTCTAGACTTCTATAGTGATTTTTATATGAAATCTTAGTAGTGGTGTCAAGCTTAGAATGATGATGATTATTTAAAAGTTGACAAAATAAATAGATCGAACTGCCATATACTGGATTGTCGATTTACAAAAAGCTTTTGATTCTGTAAGTTGGGCATGTTTTGTTTCAGGATTTTGGATTACATGAGAAGTTCATATCATGGCTGGATGGAGGACTGCATCACAAAGTCAAGGTTTTCCACCTCTAAAAATGGAAAAACCCTGAATGTGTCCCAAAATAACATCTAAACCAAAACAAAATTGCTGCCTCATACAATCAAAGGATGCATGAATTGAAGACTGTTTTATCAGTTAATATAACTCAAATAACATCAAAATGGATGGTCCGCATAAGCCATATCAGTCCAGACAACATTCTAGACATACATCGATCTGGATATAAAAAATCTTACATTAAGCAAATTATATCAATAAAAACATCAGTATGTGGTCTAATGTCTTCCTTAGCAGCTTCAGAACCCAAGTAAACAGGATCTGCAAACATTAAAAACTATGTAAATAGCCAAGATTTTTTTCCCACCATGTCGCCGAGTACTGTCCAAAACAGAGTGCAGTTCTGTGTTTGCTATGGATGGAAAGCAGAGAGTGTAACGTGACAAGTACAACCATTTTCGTTCAGGCTGTCACCTGCATCACAAATTGCCAAGCTTGCACTTTAACTAAAACATTGTAATTGGTGTTTCAAAAGGAACATTTTGAAAAGGGAAAATTGTTTGTAATATTCGAGTCATATAGGTTACCATCCAGCAAGAGAAATCTGATTTAATTGTGTGACACATCAATTTGTATGATTGCATGCAAAGATTCCTAATACAAAAGTTCCTACTCATTTTAACACTAATAAGAGAAAGCTGTCTCTTACTGCAAATGAGTACAATGATGCCAGATACATTGGTTTCAACAATTTGTAGAAGTTGAAGCAAGGTAATAAGTCTCAGGTAGCATATATAAAACATATTGCCACAGTTTTTGGGAACTTGGAGTGGAACAAAGATCAATCAAGAGTTCCTTTAAGGAAAAATAAAGCAGCATGTAGACTAGACTAAGGACACACTGTATGAGGAATTTCATTGAAGGTAAGTATTAGTTATGAATATGTTTCGTAGTGCTTCTTAATGCATGTCCTAGTCTGTTTGAGTTGGTCACATCTGTCAGATTGAGGCGGCAGTTCATTTTATGTATATCGGTTTTCTACTTTTTTTCTGTTCTTTCCTTCTGCCAAAAAAACAAAAGAGAAAATAACCTCAGTGACCAAAAATCCTAGATAATATACGATTTTGATCAACTTTTTTTGGATTTGCGAAAATGACCAACAAAATCGCAATGCGATCTCTAATTCGCATTGCGATCTCCACTATCGCAAATTCGCGTTGCAATAGTTGAAAATCGCGTTACGATTTTCCATTTCGCGTTGCGATTTTTTATTTCGCGTTGCGATAGTCTACAGTTGTTGTTGCGATTTTCCAAATTCGTTGCGAAAGTTAAAAAAAAGATTTTGTTTCTTAAGAAT